GAAAACTAAAAAGGAAATGGCAAAATAAGCTAACGGTCCTTTCGCCTCACTGGAAAATGTTGGAGTTCATGTTCTTCCCAGTTTAGATCCATCCTCCACCCCCCTTCCATTCTGGTGTGTTTGTTCCGAYTCTCCAAGAGACTCCCCAGGACCAGCAGGGTGGTATTTCCCAGGAGCCTCCATGGCTGTGTAATTTGCATACACCATTTTTATCAAAGGAAAATAAATGCGCACAACCATCTGTCTCCCTGCATCCCTGTCTCATCCTTGCCTGCCTCGGCTCAGCTGGGCCAGTTCCCAGTTASTTGGGATTAATCTGTGCTGTCCCCTGTGCTCAACTCAGGCATGGGGGTATCACACTCCCTCCCCACCTGGCCCTGCTGCCTTCCCTTGTGGCAGGAAACCTTTGACACTTCAGGAATGCTGCTGAAGCTTCCCAAACACTGGTCCTAAAGAGCCCGTTTGGAAGCTTCTTTTGAATTAGAATTGGCAATTAGCAACCTTTGGAACTGCTGAGAGCTGGGAGTTAGTGTTACTTGTGGGAGGATTGGGCAGAGAGGGAACAGGAGGTTTGCTRCATACCTGTAAAACCTGCCGCACCCAGCTGGCTCCATAGCCGGGACCGATGGGTGCTCGTGTTGCTGAGAGTGTAGGTGGTGGTGGTGGAGAAAACACKGGAGCGTGAGGGCTGGAAACGCTCCTGCCTCTGTGTGTGCATCCTAATGAGACTGCGATCCCTTGGAGGAGGATTTAGAAAGCAGCTTTAACCTCTTCTGGAGGCTGTGCACAAACGTGTGGATTGCTTTGTGCAGCCTCTCCTCAGACGTGGGAAGTTTGCRTGGAGCTGCGTAGGGATGGGACCGGAGGTCCTGATGGCGCTGGCAGAGCTYTTCCCAAATGTTTCTGATCACCCCTTTGCAGCTCAAAACAGGCTCCTGAAAAGGCACTTGTGAGCTTTGGGATCTCTGCAGTGTCCCTTGCTGGCACTGAGCTCTGTGTCCCTGCACAAGCCAGCTCTTGCAAGGAATGTGCTCGTGGGAGGATGGATGGTGCAAGCGTGGAATGGAGGGAGCAGAGGAGGTGCCCMGGGTCACAGTGAGTGGGGATGTACCCCCATGGTGAATTTGAACCTCTGAGGAGGGAAATCAGTCCCAACCGTGTTGTTTTTGGCCAGGCAGAAATAGTCCTTCCGTCCCCTTCAGTGTGTCAGCAAGGTGTGGTACTGSCATCAGGCATCACTCCCCAGTGTAAGGGATCTGTGTGTGCCAGGGTATCTCTGTGTGTGCACGGGGATCTGTGCTGGAACAGGGACTTGSAGGGATGGAGCAGTTTGGTGGCTCCAAAGCTGGCTGGAAATAAATCCCTACACGGTGGAGGATCCCACCTCAGTGTGTGCAGATGGCTGTGAACCACTGAGGAGAGTCCACAGGAGTCTGACAATCCCAGAGTGGTTTGTATGGGAAGAGACCTCACAGTCCATCTCATTCCAGCCCCYTGCCATGGGCAGGGACAGCTTCCTCTATCCCAGATTGCTCCAAGCCCTGTCCACCCCAGCCTTGAACACCTCCAGGGGTGGAGGAGCCACAGCTTCTCTGTGAAACCTGTGTCAGGGCCTCCCCACCCTCCCAGGGATCATTTTCCTTGCAATATCCAGCATAAGTCTCCCCTCTTTTGGTTTAAAACCATTTCTCCATGAGTCATCACTATCTGTCCATATAAAAAGTCTTTGTCCATCATTTTCACAAGTTCCGTTTAACTCCTGAAAGGCCATGATGATCCCTCACAAACCTTGGTGTTGTTTAACCAGGAAAACACATTTCTGCTGTCTTTCCACATTGCAGCATCTGCTCTTGTGCCACTTTGGGATCATTCCTCCCTTGCTGCCAGCCCACCAGCCAAGATGCTAAAATAGAGACACAGGGCAGCCTGCAGCCTCTTGTGTCCATCTGATGCCACCTCCCAGCTCTCCAGCCTCCCCCAGCAGTCTGGCAAAGCTCCACGMTGCTTCCAGGGGCTTTGCTGTACTGTTCATATTCTGGGAAGGAAATCTGGGAGGTTTGGGCCTGTGCTTTGTCAGAGGTGGGACATGGTCAGGCTGGGATCACAGGGAGAGAGGTGGATGCAGCTGGGTCTGGTCTGTGGTACCCACAGGGGATTCAGATCTGGCCTTCCCAGGCTCYGGAGAAAAAGGAGCTTTGAAGGCTGCTGAGAAGGAGCCTTTCAGTGAAACCTTAATCCCCTCCAGAGCTTTCCCTAATCCCTGCTAATGTGCTGTTCAAAGGCCCACTTCCAAAGGAATGACTGCACTTTCTCACTCCCATATCTCTCCTTCCCCGAGGAATTGCCCAAAGGTGTTCCCACTGACTGTTTCCTCCCATTTTACTCTGATAAATAGAATTAATTCTTTTAAAACATAATGGAAGAAACAATTTTTGCAGCAGGTAGTGGCAAATCCGGCTGATTGATTGGGAGAGATTTCTGCTGTCAAGGATGTATTTTCACTTCATTCCTCCCCCTTTCCCTGGAGGGGATCCACAGTTTTCCCCCCAATATCCCAGTGTAACACTTCCAGCTTGGAAATCAAACCTCTGAAATGTGGAGGAGGAAAAGATGGCAGGAGACCAACACCTACATTGCTTTCAAGAAACCTTTTTTTTTATTTTTTTTTTGTTACCAAGATCCATGGTAGAGGCAGTTTCCTGAAGCCGCAGCCCTGATTATGGAGGGGCAAATTCAAAGTGAGTCAAGAGAGGCTCAGTAGGGAAATCTCCTGGGGTTAGGAGGTCATGGGGTAGGATAGCTTGGAAAATAGATATGTGTGTGTTTATGTGGAATTGCTGCAGCACCTTGGCTCAGCCACAGGAGCCGTGAGGAAGGGCTCAGTGATGCTTCTCGGCCCCTCTGCTCAATTCTGCAGCATTTAAGGGCAGAAACCCATGGCTTCAAGTGTGGTTTGGCTATGGCCAGCCCTGGCAGGGGAGGACCATGGCACATTCAGGGCCATACTGATATTTCTCTGACATGGTTTATTTTTAATTCCTCTAGAAAGCTGACACCTGCTTTCCTGTTGGTGTCTGCCTGGTGCTGGTCCCATTGCACCAGAGTTTGCTGTGGGTGTTCCCAGTTGGTAGGGTTGGCTATGCCAGAGCCCACACCAGCGTGGAGTCAGCACCCAGGACAGGACAGACACTGGGATTTGTTGTTTGTTCCCTTTGACTTTGGAAACAGCAAAATCAGTTTTCAGATTTTGTCAGACTGCCCCAGAGCTGACAGGGGAGGCTCCAGAGCCCCTTGCTGGAGCTGCCCTGTGAGAGAAGAAGGGAGAGGGGACACATTTGGGTACCTGCCTGTCCCTCCAGGTCTGCTGGGTCTCATATAGGGTTGGGTGTGCCCGGTGCCCTGAGCTGGCACCTGTGGCTGCACCAGGGGCTTTGTCACCCATGGGTTTTTGTCGTGCACCAGGAGGCTCCAGGGCTCCCCAGGACTTGGCTGCTGCTGGCAGAGGTGACACAAGGCYAGTGGTTGTCCCCATTGTCCTCCTGGTGGCAGTGATGACCCCAGCCAGGCCCTGATCTCTGTCCTGGGAGCCAGTGGGCAGCTCCAGCCTGGCTGTGGCAGAGGACAGAGAAGCCCCTTGGCTTCCCACACCAGGAACAGGCACAGCTTTTGGCAGAAATTGTGGCACTGGGATCTTCTTGTGTTTTCCTGGAACATCCCCATCCTTGGCTGCCTGTCCCTGTCCTGTGGGACACATCTGGGGGGCAGCCATGAGACTGCTGCTCCACAAAGGTCACCACTGCTTATTTACCCCAGCAGACTGAGAGAAGAGTGGTGAAATATGGAGCAGCCACGGCTGCTGCAGGCTCCCAGCCTGTGCTACACTGGGGATAAGCCCGACTTATCAAAGTGGGGAAACAAAGGAGGTGCAGCAGCAATGCTGGCACACTCTGTGCCCCTCACAACACCCTGCTCACCCTGGTGCACTTTGGGGCATTTATTTGCATGGGGACCCCCAAGTGCTGCCTCTCCCCCAGAGCCTGCTCAGCTCCTGCTGCCAGAGCAAAGGCA